CGCCATTTTTCTCTCCCCTACGCACACCAGCAGCAGGGCGTAGTGTGAAAACTGAAACAAGAAGGAGTGGACTATGAATGAAGTGGGTACAAGTACTAACCCTAATTGGGTTGTACCCCTTATGGGATACCCCACTACAGCCTACACAAAAGCATAAGCTATAATGTTCTGACACGTAGCTGAGCGGACGAATTGCACGCTGATGACGAAGGTGCGAGCATTGATGAAGTGGTCAAAACTGCCGCCGATCTATTGGACTTACGCGGTGCACCACGCCGTACGAGTGCACAACCTATTGTCAACTACCGCCATCACCGGCAACCTGTCCCCGCATGTGAAGTGGACCGGGACCAAGGGGGACACGTCCATGCTCCGCGTGTGGGGGTGCATGGTCCAATACCGCCCGCCAACGTCAACCATCGGCAAATTCGCCAGCCGCGCACGTTGGGGCATTCACCTCGGCATTAGCCACGAGCACAAGGCGTGGATCGTGCTGGACCTGCTTAGTCAGAAGACCACCCACGCTCGCGACGTAATTTTCTATGAACGCCTCTTCCTCGATCAATTCCGCCATGACGAGCAGACGAATGCAAACCGTGTCTGTGCAAACGATGGGCATAGCTACGCAACGCCCGAGGACGAAGCTGCGGCAGCAATCCTGGAGCAGGATACCAGGGGCGAGTTCACACGGGGAGATCGCAGCAGCGACGACAACGACGACTCCTCCAGAGGAGGAATGGGTGGAACAGGCGGAAGCGGCAGTGGCACAGCACCACCTGCACCACCTGAACCAGAGAGCGATGATGACGATGTGCTGGAAGTCATCCCGCAACGTCGCCACGACAACACCGTTTCAGGATTGCAGCTGCTCGGGCTTCACACCGCAACCTCGAAGATGCCACGTGTCATCGAGCCGCGAAACCCGCGCCAAGCTCTCACTGGACCACACAGCAAAGAATGGCGTGAGGCGATGAACGCCGAAATCAAGGCGCTCGAATCCCGAGACACCTGGGTGCTAGTCAACCGTGCGGCAATCAAAGGAGCAAGAGTTCTTTCGGGGAAATGGGTCTTCCGAGTGAAGACCGGAGCTGACGGGGCGATCGATCGCTTCAAAGCGCGCTGGGTAGTACGCGGCTACGACCAGAGGCACGGGATTGACTTCGATCAAACGTTTGCGCCGGTGAGCCGTCACACTTCCGTCATCATACTCCTCGCCATTGCAGCCGCACGACATCTACCGCTCCGACAGATCGATGTCAAGAATGCATTCCTGTACGCGCTCGTAGATGCAGTGATCTACGTGGAGCAGCCACACACATACGACGAAGGGGATTCACGGGTCTGCCAGCTGCGGAAATCTCTGTACGGGATAAAACAGGCACCAAGACTTTAGCAGCACTATCTGCACAACATCCTGCTTGAAATCGGGTTCAAGCAAATGCCACACGATCCAGGAATGTACCGCCGCGACTTCCGCGGCGAATACATTCTCGTCACGGTCTACATCGACGACCTGCTTTACACGGGATCAAGCAACGAGTTACTCGAGCAGTTCGAGAAAAGCCTGGCGGGGCGCGTTGACATCACGTGCAACTACGAGGTGAAGCAGTTCTTAGGCCTCAACGTCTCCTACGCACCTGAGGCCATTCACCTCTCAGCTGCTAAGTACGCAGAGGAGTTAGGGAAACGGTTCAACATTTCACCTGCACCACTCTCCACTCCCTACCGAACTCCGGTACCGAACCACAAACCTAACAACAAAGCCCTATCCCCTGCCGGAGTTCAGACTTACCAGCAGCAGCTGGGATGCCTGCTCTTTGCCTCTGTCATATGCAGGCCTGACCTTTCCTACATCGCAAGTCAGTTGGCCCAGTACTCACGCAAACCAACGGCTGAGAATCTTTTGGACCTGCAGCGCGCCCTACAGTTCTTCGTTTCAACGCCCAAGATTGGGCTGTGCTACTCAACTGCACCAACCCCATCCTTCAATCTCATCGGCTACGTGGACGCCGATAACGCAGCAGATCCCGACAATCGACGGTCGAGGACTGGCTTCCTGTTCCGACTCGAACCAATGGGACCAATCTCCTGGAATTCGCAGAAGCAGGAGCTGGTTGCCCTGTCGTCAGCCGAAGCGGAATTCATGGCAGCAACCGCAGTAGTTCGCGAAGGCCTCTACTTGCAGGAACTCCTGCAGGTGGCGAAAATTCTAGCTTCGTACACTTTTCGTCTCCACTGCAACAACCAGAGCGCGATTCGCATTGCGAACAAACCTGGTTTCGTCAACAGCACAAAGCACATTGCGCTGCGGTATTTCTTCGTGAAGGACGAAGTGGACAAAGGCAAGGTTAACTTGACCTACTGCCCGACTAGTGACATGGCAGCAGATTTTCTCACGAAGCGACTACCACGCCAGCAGTATCAGCATTGCTCCGAACTCAGTGGGATGGTCAAGCAGGTCAAGTCGAGCTGCGGCCAGGAGTGAAGGGGGGTGTTACGAAAAGCAATGAATGAAGGTTACAGTGCACTCCCGACCGCAGCTAAAGGAACATGCGATATCGAGAACGAATGTGAAGAGTCAGAATTGACTCGAAACGTCAGACGGTTGAGATGCAACTAGACCGTCGGAGCAGATGGCATCGGGTAGTTGCAGGCAGAAGGATTCTGGCGGGAACAGTTTCGTAACTGTATGCGCCGCACGGTTGGGAATGAATTTGAATATGGGAATGTACCCCTTAGAGTACATGGCTAGCTAGGTCGATTCGTATTCCGCTGTACTCTTATTTATATCGTTGTATTTGCATGTTTTAATCATCTCAAGCATCTTACATTCACTCTGCTATTGAGGTCAAGGGCCCAGCACTACTAGACTAGAAGTGTGTGAACCTTCAAGAGGTGATCCTGGTTACGATCTAGTTTTGATCGCAACAGTTCCAGAGCACTACTCTGATTTGATTCCTCAGTGAATATCGCGATAATCAAACATGCAAGCAGCGGCAGTTAGAGGATGAGAGGAGAAGCTCACACGTGTTCTGTATATCCATTATAGACCAGTACATCCTCAATTATGTTATGAACCTCTTCGTTTGGCCATAACCAATTATTCAAACATGTTTCAAGGTCTAGTGACATTCTCAACTATTTATCATGGGTATGCATGCCATTCACATCCTGACTGATACGTGTACACCCTGTTTCTCACTATACTGAACTGTGCCGAACTGGTAGAAGACCTTGTTATCTTCGATTTGTCTGATTGAACCATACGGAGACTTAATCTAACCACCGTTAACCGTGCTTTTTCCATCTTGACTTCACTATAACCGAGCTCACCATGGCGAGAAAGAGGGTGTAGCTCGTTTTGACGCGTACCCTTGTGTGACTAGTGCATCTTTGGATGGTTTCGATGGTGTCTGTCGTGCCTGACTGACTCCTCCCAGGTGGGAGGGAGGATGGTGGTGCTGTGTAATGCACGCAGGATACAGTTCCAACCCAAACGACGAACGGCTGAGGCCGGGTGCAAGAAGTGTGGATACAGAACCAGTCGTTGCTTTCACACCCAAGTGTGAATCTCCATGTACTGTACGGCCGTGCGGATTCCGTTTCCGTTGGTCCAATTTCACGTGACGACATCACTTTGGGAGAGCGCCATTCGCAACCAACCACAACCCTTCCTCGTGTTCTCGCCACCTCCGTGCACCATGGCACTGGTGACAGCCGTTTGGCGCGCAGCCCAGTTGGTACAGTGTTTCTTACGACACCTCCTCGTTTGACAAGCAGTCTACAATTCGAAACAACTCGCTCGAAGCAAATTTCAGGGTGTATAAACGCGGCCCGGAAACTGGGAGGGATGCAATGCAATGGTCGTCGTGTCGCCTCGCCACTGTGGCCCCAACCTGTTCAAGGTGAATGTAGCTAGCATAGCAGCGAGAATTTTGCCTAATCCCGCGAAAGCGCGGTTTGATTTATGTTTGCCACGTGGCGAGCCTATGATCGCTTGAGCCGCGATCTGTCTTATTGTTATCACAAAATTCAAGAGAAATTTAGTTAAGTTCTGTACTGCGCTGCCCACGGGCAAAAATTAAACCCATATAGGTAAGGCATGCGTTAGGGATGCACCAGCCCTAAACACCTAGAGGCAAGGTGTTTAGGGTTGATGCCTCTCTAGTGCATGCCAGGCCCGAATGGGTTTCATTTTTGCTTGCGGGCTGCGTAGAACAGAACTTAACTAAATTTCTCTTGAATTTTGTGATAACAATATAACAGATCGCGGTTCACGCGATCGAAGGCATGCCACGTGACGATAATAAAACGAACCGCAATTCCACGGGTTTGAGAAAAACTCTCCATAGCAGCCTGGCGCAAGCACACAATTATGCTTTTACGAAATGGCGAATACAGGTTACACAGTTGCCCAGCAGTCAAGCGGTCAGCCGTGCCATGTCGTGTTGTCACGAAGCCTGACGAGGCTAAACAACCAGAGATTGGATCCGGTCAGCTGGTTGAATTTAGAGAATCCAATTTTCCAGCACAACCTCTGGTCTGTCTGCTGCTCCTGCCTGCTCCACTCCATTCCACTCCACCACCCACCCGCCCCTTTCACCCCCACCGCCTCAACCCCAATTCCCCCCACCCCCCTTCGACCCTCTGGTTCAGTGACCTCGTTGTCCCACTGGCTTCCCACTGAAGTTGGCTCGATGCCTTGCCTACACCAGATTTTTCCCGCCAAAGCACAATGACTGGACGGGGACGGACCAGGCAAGAGGCCAACCGCAATCGCCGTCAACGGTTTCTGTCATCCCATCTACCTCAAGCCAGCTCAAACCTGTGAAACAGAACCCCCACTCTGCATTTCTGAACGCTTGTTCCATTATGACTCTACGCCATTGTCCGTACCTTTTGTGGTTCCCTAATAGGCTGCGTATTATTGTTTATTCGAAGTCCTCCACACACGCTTAGCTCCAGGAATGCATATGGCGGCCGTCGGCACAGCCCAAGCCATGGACATAGAGCCGCAGTTCCGCGCGCAGCAGTACCACGCGCCGCGCCAAGACCCGCCCAACGTCGTTAGCGTTGCTGACGCCACCATGGATGAAGTCGGCAGCCCGGACCGCATGCCCCGCCGCTCCCCCCTGCAGCCCTCACCAGACCACTACGCTCGCTCGTCTCCGACCGCTTGCGAGCCGCACGTTCCGTCCAACGCAGGCAGCTATGACCCCCGAAGCGGTTACCAAGTTACTCCTAGTAGGACCGCGTCGCCTCCCAGGCGGGACTCGAATTCCCTCTTTTCTCGCCGAAACCGCGGAGCGCTCAGTCCACTGACCACGTTTCAATCCCCTTCCACCTCCGCCCAAGCTTCGTCCGCTTCCGCCGCTCCGCTGAATCTAGAATCCGCCGCGCAAGGCGGCTTTGCCCCTGCCAATGGGGCGCGGAGCTCCCGTTCCCCCTCCCCCCGCTTTTTCCAGCCCGCTACAGGCACCGACTCCCCGACAATCTCCCCCGACCATCCCCGCACCGGACTGTACCTGGGACCCGCGCCACGGAATTCCCCGCGCGGAACGGCGGGCGGCGGAATGCCGTCCGCTCAACGTGCGGGTTCGCCAGCTGGTGTGGCGGGCGGCGCTGGGACTGGCGCGGGGCTTCAAGTGAACCCGTTCATCCTGGCGCACGGGGGCTGTCCGCGGTCCCCCATGCGCTCCCGCCAACAGCTTTCCGCGCATGGTGGCTCGCAGCGCGCAATTGCGCCATCTCCGCTTTCCGAGCTGCTTAGCGCGGGAGGTTCGAATCGAATGGATATCCAGCCTGGCTCGCTAGAAGCAGACTCGTTACAGATACAGATTCCGAAGGATCACAAGCCTCTGTCGCAGCAGCATTTTACAAATGACGGTCGATCGCAACACGGGCAGCAGAGGGAGGAACTCCTGCAAGAGAGCGACTCGTGCTTGGAGCAGCAGTTCCAGCAGCCGTCACAGCAGCAAGCGCGGCAGCTTTATTCCCAGCAGAGCGTGCCGTCCGCCGTGCCGTCCTCCGTGCCGCCCCATCGGTCTCCACGATCGTCGTCACTCGACAGCTACGACCACGTCATCGCGTCGCACGCGCCCGTCGCGTATCGCGCGCAGCTGCCCTCCCCCAAGCAACTCTCCGCGCCTCTCAACCCGCACGCGTCGCAAACTACTCCGCCGCGGAGCGGCGCGCCAGGCCACATTTCCCCCTCGCGCGGGGGCGCGGGGCCGCCGAGCGCCTGCGCGCCCATCGCCACCCCCCGGCCGGTCCGCCCGGCCCATCGGCGCACAGCCTCCGCTTCCGCCGCCTCCGCGCTCCTCCAGCACAACTTCTCCGCCGACATGCTCGAGGGCAGCTCCTCCCCGCGCCCCGCTTTCTTCTCCCGCCCGCCCCCCTCCCCGCGCCACACACCCGCGCAGCCTATTGCGCCATCCGCCGCAGCGGCGCTCGTGGCCGCCGCTTCCGCGGGAAGCGGACCCGCGACGCCTCGGGGAGCCTCTCCGCGAAGGAGCTCTTCCCCCGCGGGAGTGCGCGCGGTGAACAGTGCGAGCCGCGCCGCACAGGACTTGCACGCGCGGCTGCTAGCTGCCGCTCAGATGATTGCCGACGGGGACACGGCGGGTGCAGCTGCTACAGCAGAAGCGGCAGCGGCTGTAGCGGCTGCGATGCAGCAGCAGCAGCAGCAATGGCAGGCGCAACAGCAGCAGCAGGCGCACCAGGCGCAGCAGCAGCAGCAGCAGGGAGGGGGGAAGCGGCAGGGCCGGGCAATAGGGATTTCGGAACTGCAGATGGAGCGGGGGGGCGCGCAAGGAAGCTCCGCGCCAGACGGGAGTTTCCCGTTTAGGGGAAACTCCCCGCTGAGGCAAGCTGGCGGCGCAGCAGCGGTGGGGGTAGCGGGCCACGCGGAGAGGGCAGGGGGAGACGCGGCCGGAGCAGAAATGCGCACAGGCGGAGCAGGCGCGGGGGGAGTCTCCCCCACCTCTGAGCGCGCGGAGCAGTTGAAGCGGCGGGGGAGCGCGATGCTGGGGGAAGAGGAGATGCGCGCCCTCTCGCACATGTCCCTGGGGGGTCCCTCAGGGGGCGTTGCGCGTTCAGGTGGAATTTCAGGTAGGCGCGCAGGCGCAGGTGACTTTGCAGGTTTCTCGGGTGCTGGTAACGGGGGAGCTAGTATCGGGGATGCGGGGGCGTGCAATCGTCCTGTGAAGCAGCGGGTGTCCACAGGCCATCGATCCGCCTCCAGTGGCGTTGGCGGGGGTAGCGGCGGGGGGAGCGGCGGAGGCAGCGGCGGGGGGAGTGGTGATTATCCATCCGCGCTTTCCGCCGCCGCAGCTGCTGCACTAGCCGCAGCTGGGGCTCCAGTGGGGATTTCCCCAGGGGAAATTACCCAAATAGCCCAGAAATGGATGGAGCTGCAGGCGGGGGGGTGCCTGGGCGGGTACATGCACAGTTCGCCCTCGCCTTCCGCCGCTGCTGCCGCCGCCGCTGCTGCTGCGGCCGCACGCGCTTCTGCGTCTGTCGCTGCTGCTGATGTGGCGGCAGCAGCTCGCGCACAGAAAGCAGCAGCGGAAGCGGCGGCGGCGGCAGCAGCAGGAGGCGCAGGAGGCGCCTCGTTAGGCGGCGCCTCTCCCGTTTCCGCAACAGCAGCGCGAGCAGCAGCCAATAGGAGAGCCGCACGTCATCGCCGCACAGGCAGCGCGGATTTCGTATTGAACAACCCGGGGGAGGCGCTGAAGTCTGCAGGCCCCCTGCGCCAGACTCTCAAGCGCGCCAGCGCCAGCGGGAACGTGAGCGGGAGCGGGGGCGCGGGGGGGGGCGGGGGGGGGGTACCAGCTGGATCGCGTCTCCGCGCCCTGCCTCGCGAAGCTGCTCAACCAGCCCGCCTCGGGGCCTTTTGGGGGAGGGGCGGGCGCGGTGGCTTGGGGCGCGGGGGCAGGGGGGAGGCGGGGAGGGGCGGGAGGCGGGGGCGCGGGCGGAGGCGGAGGGGGAGGGGGGGGAGGCGGGGGCATCGGGGGAGGCGTGGGGGTGGTGGGGAGGCACCGGCCGTCGTCGTCCATCTCAGGGTTTGCAGGTGACAGGCTGGTGACGGCTGCTGCTCTTGCTGAGGCATCCAAGCACCTTGCTCTCGCCTCCGCTGCTGCTGCTGCTGCCCCTCACACTGCTGCCGCTGCAACCAACGCTGCTGCTGCTTCCAAGGCGCTGCTTCAACAGCAGCAACAGCATCAGCAGCAGCAGCTGATGCAGCTATTGCAACAGCAGCAGCAGAAGCAACAACAGGGAGTTTCAGAGAGAATGGATTTGAATGAGTCCAGGGCACAGATTCGCATGGGGCAATCCGGGCAGACACAGCAGCAGGCTCGCCCGCAGCACCAGGTGGTTCCTCAGGTGTTTTCTCAGGTGGTGGCGCCACACCGCCAGCAGCAGGGGCGGCAGCTGAACGCTACACTGGGCGCTGGCATGCGCAAGCCAGCAAGTTTTTCGGGCAACGTGGAGGATGTTTTCGGGCAGTACGAGGGGTTGCCCCCACGAGACCATGTTCTTAGGAAAGAGTATGGGGAGATTAAAGGCCTATTTGTTCTGCATAGTAAGGAGCTGGGCAGCGGGCAGTTTGGAATCATTCGGCCGTGCATGGAGGTGGCGACCGGGCAGGTGTTTGCGTGCAAGACCATCAACAAGAAATGTATTCAGGTGAGATCCCACAGAGAATGGGAGAAAGCAACAGAGGAAGAGGCGAGTTTCGTTTGTAAGCAACAGAACAAACGGAGATGCACCCCTGCTTCATGTGAAACAAAACATAGTAAACAAGGAGGGAAACATGCACGGTGATGGTGCTGTGCTCTGCTGTTTGTGCGATGCTGTGCAATGCTCTGTCCCTGCTCCCCAACTCCTCTTCTTCATCACCCCCTTCCCAGTGGCCCCATCACCCCTCTGCCCGGTGATCCCCAGACAAAGAGGTGGTATGCCTCACGCTGCTGCTCCCCTCTTTCTTACGCCCTTCCCCTCTTCCCCTGCTCCCCTGCCTGCTCCCCTGCTTCCCTGCTCCCCTGCTCCCCTGCTCAACCCCTATCCCAATGCGCCCCTGTTCCTCTGCCCGGTGGTCCCCAGACGAAGGAGGATGCAGAGGACATTCGCAAGGAGGTGGCGTGCCTCCCACTGCTGCTCTCTTTCTCACCCTCGTTCCCTCCTTCCCCCTTCCCCTGCTCCCTGTTTGCTGCCCTGCTCCCCGGTCACACCCGCCAGACGAAGGAGGACGCGGAGGACATTCGCAAGGAGGTGGCGTGCCTCACACTGCTGCGCAACCACCCCACCATCGTGACTCTCAAAGACACCGTGGAGGACGAGGAGGTACGAGGGTAGGGTGGGAAGGTCATGCCACCTCACCATCGTAACGCCTAAAGACATGATAGGGTGCAGACATGTTACGCGGTTAAGAAGGCGAGGTGGGGCGACAGGGTGGTAAGGCAGGAAGTGCTGCTGCAACTGTAGCTTACAGACCACCCTATAACCGTACCACATTGAAGGCACTAAGTGCAGCTGCAACTGTCACGCTCAAACCGCCCCACTCCATAAACGCACCACATTCAAGGCACTGAGTGCAGCTGTAGCTGCAGGTGTAGGTGGTTCTTGCAGAACCACCCACCAGTTGGGAGGCAGTGCGAGACAACAGGATGGGGTTACAGGATGGGGTTACAGGATGGTTTGTTGATGTGTCAATGCAGCTGTGGCATCAGATTAATGATTGTGCAGGCATCCTACCATACTGATTCTTAAAGCCATGGTGTAATACGAGGAGGTTGGGGTGCAGTAGAGGTGGTTGGAGATATTAAGACTTAATGAAGTGAGATAATTGAGGATTAATTATGTGCAGCAGGTGGATGACGTGAGTCGATGTACACCCATGTCACACTATCTCAATGCAAACATCGCCCTCTCAACCTCTTTTTTATCCCAGCACCCCCTTCCCCCCACATCCCCATTCCCCTCGCACCCCTCTTTCCTCACATCCCTCTTTCTATGCACCCTTCCCCCTTCGCTCTGCTCGCCTTTCAGACCCCGTTCGTCGCACCCCCCTTTCTTCTCTCCCACCCTCCTCTCCCCTCCCCAGAACATTCACGCAGTGATGAGCTGTGTCAGAGTAGCAATCTCCTTCACGCTCTTTTGAGACGTCTCAAAATGAGCTGTGTCAGAGTAGCAATTTCCTTAACGCTCCTCTCCTCACACCCTCCCCCCCTACCCGCAACCCACCCCTTCTCGTCCCCTTCTTTCCCCTTTCTCCCCCCCATCAGAACATCCACATAGTGATGGAGCTGTGTCAGGGCGGCGATCTCTTCGACCGGGTGAGCAGCAGTGGGCGGCTGTCGGAGCAGAGTGCCGCCCGGCTGTGCAGAGCGCTGGTGGAGGCGCTGCTGCACTGCCACTGCCACGGCATCCTGCACCGCGACATCAAGCCCGAAAACATCCTGCTCTGCGACCGGTCGGAGGATTCAAGGATCAAGCTCGTTGACTTTGGGGTGGCCACCTTCTTTGACCCCGGTGAGTGCCTGTTTAGGCAACTGCTGCAGCTGCCATTGCTGCTGTTGCTGCCACTGCCCCTTCGCCGCTCCTGCTGCGAAGTGCATGGTTCCTGAATGCTTTTCTCATGGTTGTTTTCATTCCCCGTTCCATACAATCTGCACCGAGTGCCACAGGCAAGCGGCTGACAGAGGTGCTGGGCACGCCCAAGCACATGGCGCCAGAGGTGCTTTTCCTTAACCTTGTTGTTCCCCCGCTTTTCTGCGATCTGCTGCATTCTCCCGCAGGCAAGCGGCTGACGGAGATGCTGGGCACGCCCGAGTACATGGCGCCAGAGGTGCTGCTGCAGTCCTACGGCCCCGAGGCCGACATCTGGTCGGCGGGCGTCGTTTTATACATCCTGCTGTGCGGCGTGCCGCCCTTCTGGGCGTCGTCGCGCAAGTGCGTGGCGGAGGCGATTCTCAAGGGATCCGTGAGCTTTAAGTCTGCTAAGTGGGCGAATGCGAGCGAGGAGTGCAAGGACCTTGTAAGGAGGATGCTTACAAAGGATCCACGGGAGAGAATAACGGCACTGGAAATCCTGGGTGAGTGCGAGGGTGGGGCGGGAGAGTGGAAGGCGGAAATGACAGGCGCCGGGCGGCATGAGTCTCGGTAATTCTTTCCTCTCCCACGTCAGTGTGGGAGGGCAGATGCGGAAAGGGAGAAGGTATCTGGTGAGCAGGGGATGATACATGCAGTAAAGAAGTCGCCTTGTGCCGTCTCACTTTCACCCGTCGAGTCCTGGTTGAAGCTCGCGTGCCATTTCTGTGTTTGTTCTTCTTGTCCTGACGACCATTCTCCACCTCCTCCTATGCCTTGCGCCCTCACTCTACAGGTCATCCATGGATTCGCAGGTACCAATAACGTGATTATTTTCAGAGCACCGATTTAGCTAGTGGTGACACGCGCATACGGTACATTCTATTTGAGACAAGCTGAGCAAGCTAGATGATCACTTGTGATTAATTCAAGGGGAGCGGTTTAGGTAGTTTACACCATGCCTACACGCTGCGGCATTGTAGCTGGCCTTGTATTTAATCCCTCCTGATTGTGCTTGTGGTCAGTTGCTTGCATGTACTACATTGCGTTTGTGGGTTATAATGTGGTATATTCTCGGTTGCTTTGGTGGACGACTGAGCGCGCCGTTACATTTCCTAGCTGCAAATGAGCGATTCAGTAAAGAGGATTTCATCGAACTTTGACTCTTGCTCGACAAGCTCGAGGGGATGCACGAAACGAGCGCCAGCAGCAGCAGCAGCAACAAGGGACCAACGCAACGGAACCAGCAACCAGCAACAGCAGTAGCACGCCGCTCCACCAGACAATTTTGCGACGCTCTGGGAACGTCGTGCAACCTAACCCAGCCTAACCGAACTTGACCCAACCCAGACCAGCCCAACTCAGCCCAAAGCAACACTACACACAGAAAGAAGCAGCGGGAGCGGACGCCCTTTTCAGGGTACGGATGGATGGGGGGACAGGAGTGTGACTGATACGAACGAGGCAGGCAGAGACGCACCAGAAATGTTCGGAAACGCCGAAGCAGGTGAAACCGCTGCAGGTGTTTTTAAGGTAGGAACTTATAACCACCACGTGGGCCTGGAGCAGGTGTTTCCGTAATGGCTCGAACCCTAATTAAGTTTTTTCGTGTTAACGACTATGGCACGATGGTTTCAGGCATTGGTACATGAGCGCCTCCGATAAAGAGTTCCCGTTACAGGGACGAGCGGCGAGGGCAGCGGGGATGAGATGGGAGGAGAACGAGGCCTCGAGCAGGTTCAGTCAGTCGCGCGGGACACCCCACCTGTCGCCACGAAGCATCGCTCCGTGTTTCGCGGTATCTCGAGCGCACTACGGTCCAACCGAGCTCCGCAGGCCGCCACTGGCACCGCCGTTACAGCCTCTGACAGCAGCCGAAGTTCAAGTAGCGGGGGCCGCTCGTTAAAGTCGAATATTTCCGCGCCCGAGCGCAGCACTGTTTGGGACGCCCTTCAGAGAGCGCAACGCGGCGCAGCCCCCGCAGCCACCGCAGCAGCCGCTACCTCCACGTCAGAACGTGACAATCGGTCGGCAGAACGGGAATTGCGGGAAGAGGATAGGCCGCCGAGTCGGGAAACGCGGGGAGAGACGCGGGAGGAGGAGTGCAGTAGTGGAGGTGAGGAGGTTACTTCTCGTTTTCGTGAGGAATGGCGAAGCGAGAGAACGGAGGCGGGGGAAAGCCCGCACGGGCAACAATCGACGGCTGGAGGTCGCATCAGCGCGCAGTCTCAACAGCAGGAACGGTCGAGATTGCGGCAAGGGCAGCAGCCACTAGGCCCGCCGCGAAAGGCGGGTTTGAACGAGCAGCAGCAGCGCCCGCCGCAGCAACCGCCGCAGCATCCGCCGCTGCAGCAGCAGGTGCTGAAGCGCCAGACGCACGGCCAAGCTCCGCACGGCTCCCCTCAGGTCGCTCCGCGCGCGCGGAACGCGCAAGGCTTGGTGGAGGGTTTGGCGGAGGGGGCGGAGCGCTCGACCAGCGCGCCGAGGGTGCACCATGCGCGGAGAGCCAGCAGCGGCGCAGCTCTCGCGCTGCCATCTGCGCAGAACGCTGGTGAGGGGAGGATGGGGGGCTTGCGGGACGGCAGCCCCGCGAAACCCGTAAGCGGACGTGGGGGAAGAGACGGGGCTTCCGCGCAAGCGGATTTCGAGCCAAAGCGGAGCCACCTTTCCCCCATGCAGCTTCCCCAATCGCAGCAGGCAGCCAGCGCAGGCCCGCGGGCTGGAGTTGGAAATACCCCTCCGCGATTGAGGCTGGATCGTATGGCGAGTACGGGTTTTCTGGCGGTAAGCCCGGAGAACCGATCCCCCGCCGCTACAGACATGCTCGGGCGGCCGTTCCCCGTGAAACAGGCGCCCTCCCGCTCCAGCTCCGAGTCTTCCGACGCGGAAGAGGAGGGGGAGCGCGGAACGGGAAAGGGGGGGGGCAGGGGGGAAGGAAAGGGGGAAACGGGAGTGCGCAGGGGGGAGGGTGCCGGGGGAACGGCGCAGGGAGGGGGAAGCGGGGCGGGTGGGCCAGAGATAGTGGTTGGGGATGTGCTCAGCATGCTCCCCGACAGCATAACGAATATGTTCTTCACGAGTATTAAGTCTGAACCGCCCAGTCCAGTTCCTTTTGGTACCCCGATAGCCAGTGGGACCAACCAGATAGGCAGCGCGTCTATCCAGTCGATTAAAGACGTCTCTAGAGGGCCAAAAACTGTGTCAGAGGGCGCTAACGCGCGCCCGGTTCAGGACATGGCGATTGCGTTCGCTCTGCCCAACTCCCACAGCGACAGCAGCAGTACAGGAGAAGTGTCCTTTCCTTTTCCCTCCTCCTCCTCCTCCTCCCACGCCCACCACCAAACCCCCGACCAAACCCCGTCATTCCCCTCCCGCGCGTCTCACCACCCCCCCAGGTCCCACCTCCCCTCAGCTTCAGTAGACCTCGACCCCAGATCGCACCTCCCCTGGAACCAGCCGCCTGACGCCTCCCCCATGAGCCTCGCAGGCTGGTTCCCCTCCTCCTCCTCCTACCAGGAACCTTCCGAGCACTCAAGTGAGGGAGGAGGGGGGATGGGGGAGGGGGAGGCGGGGCTGGGCGGGGTTGCTCCGCGGACCCCCCCCAAGCGCACCGTTTCGGGGGTTGATCCGCGGACGAGCAGCCGCGTGTCCCCAGAGAAGTGGGGGAATGGGGGGATAGGGGGAGCTGGGGGGGAAGGGGCGGGCGGAGGGTCGGGGGGACTGCAAGGGCGGGGAGGAGAGGTGGGAAGGGGTTCGGGAAGGTGGAGAACGATAGGTGTACCGGCCAGCAGGAGCGAGGAGGCGTCTGAGGGCGCTCAGAGGATCAGCGTGGGGGCGGGGAGAGGCGCACCAGAGCGACCTGCCACTGCCGCCCCTGCTCCTTCCGCCTCTGCCTACGCTGCTGAACGCGCTGCTGACGCTGCTGACCGTGCCACCGCTGCTGCGGCTGCGGCGGCTGCTGCTGCGTCTGGAGGTGCAGGCATGGATGGTGCTAGCACCCCCCGGCAGCGGCTATTCAACCGGGCTAACAGCGACCCTGAGCCTAGATCGCCGGGGGACCCGCGCCCCAACACCAGCAGCGGCGCGCTTGGGGGGCCTGCAGGCAGGGGGGATGGCGGAGGCGGAGGCGGAGGGGGGCGGGGGGGTGGGGAGTCGTCACTGGCGCGGCAGGTGCTGAGCAAGTGGCGGCACAAGATAGACTCGCGGCGCCCTGGCACCCCCCCCACCGTGCCCAAGAAAGACTTTCCCCCGCGCCCCCATGCCCCAGGGGAGAACCACCACCAGCACCAGCAGCACTCGCAGCAGCAGCAGCATGGCAGTAACAGTAGGTTGATGGCAGGGGGTGGGGCGGGTGAGGGAGGGGGCGGGGCAGGTGCTGCTTCGGGGGAGCTGTGGGGCGGCAGTGGGCGGCCTTTGTCAGCTGCTTCCCGCACGTCGTCCAACATAGAGGGCATGCTGCGCGGAGGGGAGGGGGGCGCGGGGAGGCGCTTGCAGAATGTGCGGATGCTTGGAAAGGGGGGAGGCGCAGGGGGAGGGGGAGGAGAAGGAGGGGCGGATGTGATGCAGGTGTGGGGGGGGGAGGAGAGCGAGGGGGAGGACGGTGTTTCTGCTGCTGGAAGTGTTGCTGGTGGTGGTGGTGCACATGGGAGAGAGGAGAGGGGGGCAGCAGCGGCCCCCCATGGCGCTGGTCCGCGGGGGGGCGCTGCCCCAGGGGCAGGGCGGGGGCACCAGCGGCGCATGTCATGGCAGCAACCCATGGAGCAGCGCGAGCAGCAGCAGCAGCAGCAGTCGCAGGTGTGGCAGAACCAAGGGGAGATGGATGGCGGACAGAAGAGCGCAGGGCAGCAGCGGGTGCCAGGAGTGGGGAGAGGGGAGGGGGGTATGGGCGGAAGGGCAGGGCCAGGGGGGAGAATGGGGGGTAGAGGGCGGGGAGGTGGAGGGGCAGGCGGGGAGGGGATGGGGGGAGGAAGGGGAGTGGGGGGAGGCGAGGTGGGGGGGGCGGCGGGCAGTGTGGATGAGGGGTATGGGGAGGAACGGCGGGGGCGGGAGAGGTATGGGGGGCAGAAGGGTGGCGGGGGGGACTCGTCCCCCGTGGAGAACGCTGCAAAGAACATTGTGTCTAAATGGCGCAAGTTCGTTAAGTCCCGCACGCCGGATAAGGGCGCGGCGGGAGCAGGAGGAGGAGGGGGAGGGGGAGGAGGGGCGGGGGAGGGAGTTGAGGGTGTGCAACGGAGGGAGAAGGAGAGGGAGCGGGAGCGGGAGAGGGAGCGGGAGAGGGAGGGGGAGGGGGAGGAGAGAGGAAGAGGGGATGAGGGGGAGAGGGGGAGGGATGTGGTGCAGCAACTGGATTTCACTGGGACCAGCAGTGGGGAGGTGAGTGCGATAAGTGAAGTTGTACTGCTGAGTCATTAGTTAGCAGCAATGCCTTCTTCCCTCTAGTTAGCAGCAATGCCTTCTTCCCTCTAGTTAGCAGCAATACCTTCTTCCCTCTATGTCGCATGAGCTCTGTAGTGGGTGCTCGTTGTGATTTGAGTCGACCATATAGTTCTCCTCGTTCTACGCCGTATCGCCCCTGTGGATGGACTTTACCTGCCACTCCCTCTCGCTCTTGCTTTGCCTTGCTCAGATCCTCTTGCTTTGCCTTGCTCAGATCCTCTGTTATCCTATTCAGTACTCGTCTGTCCGTCATCCACTCTCCCTCACCCCATTACTCTATCTGCTGCCGACTCGCCGTCCCCACCCACCTTCTTCCCAACCGACTCCCCCGACCACTCCCCCCCTGGCAGCAGAGTGGCAGTGAAGCGCGCCTGCAGAGGCGCTTCTCAGACAAGTCCCGCGCCCCCCTCCCCCCCCACGCTGCCCGCAACTCCACCCCTCCTCGCCTCGCCCCCCCTGCGCCCTCCGCCCCGCACCACTCCTCTCTCCGCCCCTCCTCCCCCTCCCTACGCTCTTCCTCCCCCTCCCTACGCCCGTCCTCCCCGTCCCTCCGCTCCTCCGCCCCCTCCCTCCGCCCTCCATCCCCTTCCCCACGCTCCCCTTCCCCGTCCATCCGCCCTCCATCCCCCTCCATGCGCCCCTCCTCCCCCCCCACGTCCTCGCCCTCCTCCATCACATCAGCCTCTAGCTTCGCCTCTTCCTCCCTTGCCTCCTCCGCCGCCCCCCCGTTGCTGTCCAAGTTTCCCCGAAGTGCTTCCACTGCTGCCCCTAACACTGCTGTAGGCCCGGTTTACTCCGACCCTACAATAGCACCATCCAGTCGCAACAGATTCCCCAGGCCTCACGCCGAACCTGCCACATCTACAGGTTCGGCAGGCTCCTCCACGTCGCCGTCACTTGTCAGGTCCGTTACTGCTTCGGGGTCAGGCCCGGGAGGCCTTGGCTCGGCCCATGGTAAGCCGGCAGGTTCGGGGCGCAAGCCAGTGGACATATCTCAGGCTCTGAACAACCTGCTGTCGCTGCTAAGCCCGGAGGAGCAGCAGAAGCTGAAGCAGTCATGGAGCCTTCTAGACAGCGGCGCAGCAGCAGGGGGAGGAGGTGGGGGAGGGGGAGGTGGCGCAGGGGGCATGGGCGCAGGGTTGTTGCTAGCGGGGGAGGGAGGGGAGGGGGTGCATAAGCAGCTGAGCGCGCAGCAGGAGCAGCAGCAGCAGCAGATGCGGCTGCAGCAGGTGAAGCAGCAGCTGCTGCAGCAGAGGGGCGGGCAGGTGGGGGGCATGGGGGGGAGGGGAGCTGGCGCAGGGGGAAGGGCAGGGGGAAGGGGAGGCGGAAGGGGGCACAGGCGGCAGCGGACAGAGGGTGGGCTGGTTCTGGGCGGTTTCGGTGGGGATCTGGGGTTGGGGGAGACGGGGATTGAGGGGGGGAAAGAGTGGGCGGAGAGGGGGGTGGATGTGAGGGAGGGTGGGGGAGGGAGAGGGGTGGGGGCGGCAGGGAGAGGAGGGAGAGGGGGAAGAGGGGGGCGAGGGTCACTGGATGACTGGGATGGGGGGGTGGGGCGGACAGGGGCAGGTGATGTGAAGGGATTGCAAGTCCTGGGACCGGAAGGGACGGCTGGAGCAGCAGCAGCAAGAGGAGCAGCAGGGGGACGAGGAGGGGGAGGACGGGGGGCAGCAGGCGGGAGGCTAGGAGCAGTACGGGCGGGGGGAAGAGGGGGGGTGGGAGGGGAAGGGAGGGCAGGGAGGGGGCGGCACCAGCGCACGCGGTCAGACTTTGTGATTGGCGGGGTGGATATGAGCCTTGACCTGGGCGCGGGGTTGGGGTTGGGGTTGGGGGCGGGAGTGAGCAGTACAGGGCGTGCTAGCATGGATGGACCTGGGCTGGCCAGAGGGGCAGGCAGAGAGCACAGCGGCGCAAGAGAGGGCGCAGGGCGGGAGGGGGTGGGGAGGGCGCAAGCAGCAGGTGGGTTGGGTGCGGTGGGGAGGAGTGGGGGCGGCAAGGGGGAAGGTGAGGAGCGGAATGGGCGACTGCTGCGGAGCCGGTCGGGTGCTGCTGGGCTGCTGGAGGCGCATGGGGATGGGGAGAGGAGCGAGAGGAGCGAGAGGAGTGAGAGTGGCGAGCATGAGAGGCGCGGGAGGGGGGGAGAGGAGGACAGGAGTGTGTCAGTGGGGCGGCGCAGGGAGGTGGGTTGGGCAGACCTTGATCAGGAGGTGCAAGGGGGAATGGGGGACGCGAGAGGCGGGGGGGAGGCGAGAGGCATGGGGGAGGCGAGAGGCATGGGGGAGAGAGGCATGGGGGAGAGAGGCATGGGGGAGAGAGGCATGGGGGAGAGGGAGACACTGTTGCGAGCAAGGTCGTCCCGGGAAGGTGGAGCGCGCGGGCTGCTGCTGGGGGATCTGGAAGGGGGTGCAGGGGAGGAGCGCACAGGCGGGGCAGCAGCAGCAGCAGGTGCAGCAGGTGGGGCAGGGACGGGGACGGTGGGTGGGGGGAGGGCGCGGGGGGAGCTGACTCGATCCCGGTCTCAGAAGGAGGGGGGTTCCCGAGGGGTCATGTTTGCTGATACGGTGGAAGATTCGTGGAAGGAGCAGGCGAGTGAGGGAGTGAGGAGGCGACTGTCTGATCCACCGCGCGACCATCATAGTCAAGGTCAAGCGAGTCAACTGAGTCAAGCGAGTCAAGCGAGTCAAGCAAGTCAAGCAAGTCAATACAGTCAAGGCAGTCAAGAGAGCCAACCAAGGCGGCATGTGAGAGAGGCAAGCGAGGACATGGGGGACGATGTGGTGGACGCCAGGCCCCTCGTGCACGTCCCCGCCCCCCTGCTGCCGCCCTCCCCCCGCCCGTCCCTGCCCAGTCAAGCCAGTCAAGGGACGCAGCCAGGGCAGCAGCAGCAGCAACAGCAGCAGGGTGAGGGTGGGTGGGAGCCGAGGCAGCAGGGGGTGCAGCAGGGGGCGCAGCAGGGGGTGCAGCAGCAGGGGGGGCGTGGGGGGAGGTATGGGAGGGAAGATTCAATGGATCTGGATGACGACGTTGTGAATGCCGTGCCGCTGGCGCCTCTAGACAGGGCCACTGCTGTTGTGGATGAGGAGGAGGAGGAGGAGGGAGGTGAGTCGGTGAGTGAGAAGGGCAGCCCGGGGGTGATTACGGGGAGGAGTGGCGAGGGGGAGGAGCAGGAGGGGCGGCAGCAGCAGGGGCAGGTGCAGCAGCAGTCAGGGGGAGCAGAGTTGGTGCATTCGCCACAGGTGATATCGCCGCGACTACCAGCAGCGGCAGGGGGGGCAGGGTTGGGGGCGATGGGCCTTGTAGCCGCAGCAGCACGGCGGCAGCAGCATGTGAACCCATGGCAGCAGACCCGCGAGATGGAGGACATTCTAATGCCCTCCCGCGACCTCTCTCCCGGCCGCCCCTCCTCCTCCTCCACTGCTGCTGGTGCCGGTGCTGCCGGCGGTGCGAGCAGGGGCAAGGGCGGCAAGGCAGGCAGCAGCAGCAGCAGCAGCAGCAGCGCGGCAGTGCTGCGGTCGACGTCGGTGAGAGAAACCTCCTCCACCCGCCCGGGCTTCTCTGTTGAACTGCCCTCGCACCCCCACCACCCACACCACCACCACCCCGTGCACAACCACGTGGGAGCAGCAGCAGCCGCCGCAGCGGCAGACAGGGACGGGCAGGTGAGTTCCCGAGGGAGCTCACGGCCGGACACACCTGCGTCGCGCCCCGACACACCGTCGTCCCGCCCCGCCACACCCTCGTCCCCGGGGTTCATTATGACGCCCCGGGGGGGCCTGCGCCTGTCACGGCGCCTCATGGGCGTGGAGGGCGCAGAGGACCTTATGAGGGCTGCTCTCGCCCGCCTGCAGCACCACTCACACGCCGCTCCCTCAGGTGCCCCCTCAGGTGCCCCCTCAGGTGCTTTTCCAGGTGCTGTTGTGTCACCGAGGCGTGGGGCGGTCGCAGTGGTAGCAGGTGCAGTGGGAGGGAGGGAGGGGGAGGGGGAGGCGGCTGTGTACGGCAGCTGGGCGGGAGGAGGACTGGCTGAGAATGCTGCCGACTCGCTACAGTCTCTTGCCGCCCAGGTCTCTGCCGGCCGGTTGCCGGCCAGGCCAGGATCCAGTGGAGGGAACCGACCGGTCACTGTAGCTCCAGCTACAGTGGCCCCTGCCGCCCGGCCATCCTCTCGCCCTATGGCGATGCGGCCGGCAGCTTTGGATCTTCCTGCCGGCCGGCCAGGGTCACCATTGGCCAGCGGAGCAACAGCAACAGCAGGGGGGGCAGGAGCAGCAGCAGGCGGCCCGCATGGCTCTCATCATCTCCCATCTGACTCTGTGAGCCCTCCCCTCTCCAGCAGCCTCTCTCCTGCTGGCCTCAGCTCCCCCGAATCCGCCCTCTCCAGCCCGCCCCTGGCCGAGGTGGCAGTGTGGGCGCCGGGGGAAGGGAGTGTGGGTGGGGAGAGAATGGGGTCTGGTGGGGGTGCTGTGGGCGGGCAAGGAGAGGGGCTGTCGTTCTGGGGGCATGGGAATGACGAGACCAGCAGTTACCACAACCACTATCCGCAGCAACATCAGCAGGATGAGCATCCGCACCAGCACCAGCAACAATGGCAACAACAAAGTCGGCAGCACCAGCAGCAGCAAGAGCAGCAGGAGCAGCAGCGGCAGGAGGGGAGATTGGAGTCGGGTCAAGGCCCATGGCTGGGAGCAGCAGCGAGCGAAGCAGAGAGGGGGGCAGGAGGGGGAGCAGGCGCAGGAGGAGGGGAGGTGTGTGGGAGCCCAGAGGGGTCGGTGGGGGTGTGCTCGCTGGTGGACGTGTGCTCGCCCGTGTACAGTGCAGACGAGGGCAGCGTTGTCCTGGGCGGCGGCGGGCGGCGATTGTCACGGCATTCCAGCCGGGCGTCTATAGGGTCGCCTGAGGCTGGGGCGGGCGGGGGGAGAGGGGGAAAGCGGGGCGCATGGGGCGTGGGGGCGATTTTGGAGGGCGGGGAGGTGGGGGTGAGTGGGGGAGGGGAAGGAGGGGCGGAGGGGAAGCGGGCAAGGGCGAAAGTGGGGGAGAGAAAAGGGGAGGGGGAGGAGGGTGAGGAGGGGGAAGGAGAGGCGCATGGAAGAGGCAGTCAGGAAGCCGATGCCTTTGAGTTTGACATGGACGATGCTGACGTGGCTGCAGCCCGGGATGGCCCGGCTGGCGCTGACGTGGCACGGGACGGCCGGCCCTCGACCAATGGGGCACTGCCAGGGGGGATGGGTGGGGACATGGGGAGCAGCAGCATGGGCATGGATGGTCACATGCATGGGGCCATGCATGGTGATGGCTCCTCACACATGATGATGAATGGCATGCCCATGCCCCCACCTAATGGTGCCCCACAATTTCCCGGGCAGGTCTTCCCCCCCGGGATGATCCCAGACATGAACGGGCAGCAGCAGCTCATTCCCGGGCAGATGTTTCCAGACCCCTCTCAGCCCTTCCCCCAAGGAGACCAGCAATTTCCCTTTCTTGGGCAGCCCTTCCCTCTGCCCGGATACCCATTCCCTCTCCCCGGTCAATCCATGCCGGAAGGCATGCAGGGGCAGCTTCCTCCCGGGCAGTTCCCCGGGCAACCTCCCCAAATCCCGGGCTTCCCTGCCGGGTTTCCGGGCGGCATGCTGCCGGGGCAGCTGGGCGGCATGATGCCGCCCGAGATGCTCCCGGGGCTACAGTGCCCGCGGTTCATACTGCGCCGCCCGTATCGCAACATCGAGCGCGAGTACATGCTGCAGGAGAGGGCGCCCCTGGGCACGGGGCAGTTTGGCATCATCCGCAGCTGTGTGAAGCTCAAGACCGGGGAGGTGCTGGCGTGTAAGAGCATCAGCAAGAGCACCTTCCAGGTCAGTACACCCGCTTTCCAGGTCAGCAAATACCCTTTGTAAGTCAGCAATGCCGTACAGGGCTATGGCATGCATTTCATTGCAGCATCAACTGTGGTGCCTGCCTCCCTGAATTCAATTGTGGTGCCTGCCTCCCTGAATTCCGCTCCGTTTACACATGTAACCCATCACACATACCATCACACACACCATCACACACACCATCACGGGCCTAAACCATTCGCTGCATGCCGTGCTATCTCATCCCAAACATTACCATGCGACACTAAGCCACTCCCCACCATGTCCCACCACGCTCCACCACACCCCGCCACTCTGCACCGCACCCCACCATGCAGTACGCGGACGATGCGGAGGCGGTGGGCATGGAGGTGGCGGTGATGGAGATGCTGAACGGCCACCCGCACATCATACGCATGCGCGATGCCTTTGAGGACTCCCGGGTGAGTTAGCCTTGCAGCGAATGGGGCGTTTGAGGTATTAAGTTGCTCTGCAGCACCATCCTCCACCACCACTTTTGTTTCTTGGAATATTCTCCAAGTTGACTTCTATGGACTTTCTTGTTCCATTCCATTCAATTCCACTTGCTTAGACGCTCAAAATCTGTATCCCTCCTCCCTTTCAGCACACCCCCTTCCCCCTTCCCTCTCCTCCCCCTCCCCCCCCAGCCCCCCCCCCCAAGGACATGCACATGGTGATGGTGATGGAGATGTGCACAAGGGGGCGACCAACAACGTGTATTCCGAGTCAGCTCATAGCATCCACCCCCACCTCCTCCCACGCCCCCCTCCCCTTCCCCTTCCCCCCAGGACGTGCACATGGTGATGGAGATGTGCACATGGTGATGGAGATGTGCACATGGTGATGGAGATGTGCACATGGTGATGGAGATGTGCACATGGTGATGGAGATGTGCACATGGTGATGGAGATGTGCACATGGTGATGGAGATGTGCGGGGGGGGCGATCTGAGGGGCGGACCTGCAACGCGTATTCAGGCTTAGCCTCACTTATGCCCTCCGCCATTCCCCCCTCTCCCTTCCCCCCTCCCCTCCCACAATACAGGACGTGCACATAGTGATGGAGATGTGCACGGGCGGTGACCTGCACGACCGAGTGAAGACGCACGGGCCGTACAGCGAGGAGGGCGCGGCTGCCGTGCTGCGCGGGCTGGTGGAGGCGCTGCTGTGCTGCCACGGGAAGGGCATCATGCACCGCGACGTCAAGCCCGAGAACGTGCTCATCTGTGACACGCAGGACGACACAAGGGTCAAGCTGATCGACTTTGGAGTCGCCACGTTCATCGAGCCAGGTGGGGAGGGGATGTGTGCGGTGCAGTGCGGTCCGGTCAGGTGCAGTACTTCATTAGCGGCTGGGCCTGTGTCATGTGCTGTGCACAGTCTACGGGCACTGCCACGTGCATTGCACCCCTGTCCAACCACATGTGGTAACCTCTGTGCACGCTCCCATGGTCATCCCCCCAAGAGGTCATCCCTCATAGCTCATCACTCTCTGTGGCTGCTGAGACAGCACACGGGTCTCTGTGTTGCCATGTGTTCCCAGTCATCCATCCATCCCGGCATTGTCCTCCCACCCCCCTGCATGCACGCGTCCTGCGTGGAGTTGGTCTGCATGCCCATGGAATGGAAATCGCCCCGGAGGTCATCACTGGAGCACACGGGCCTTCCTGCTGACGGGCCTTCCTGCTGACAGGCAACCCCATCTGACAGGCAACCCCATCTGACAGGCAACCCCATCTGACAGGCAACCCCATCTGACAGGCAACCCCATCTGACAGGCAACCCCATCTGACAGGCAACCCCATCTGACAGGCAACCCCATCTGACAGGCAACCCCATCTGACAGGCAACCCCATCTGACAGGCAACCCCATCTGACAGGCAACCCCATCCATCCTGCCTTTGCCACCCACTGCCCATCCCCCACATCCCTGCAGATGCGTCCTGCATGGAGAATGTGGGCACGCCCATGTGCATCGCCCCCGCCTCTGTGCTGCCGTTCACCCCGAATCCATCCATCCATGTTTCCCCCACATACTCTGTCCTGCCCCCTGCCCCTGCCAGACGCGTCCTGCATGGAGTTGGTGGGCACGCCCATGTACATGGCCCCGGCCTCTGTGCCGCCATTCACCCTAACCAATCGATCCATCCATGCACCCATCAATGCCCTGCCCCTTCAGATGCGTCCTGCATGGAGTTCGTGGGCACACCCATGTACATCGCCCCGGAGGTCATCACCGGCGCGCACGGCCCCGAGGCCGACATCTGGTCGGCGGGCGTCGTCTTATACATCCTGCTGTGCGGCATGCCGCCCTTCTGGGCGTCCACCAATGAGGCCATCTTCCAGGCCATCAAGGAGAGCGAGGTGTCCTTCTCCTCGCCGCGCTGGCAGACCATATCGGAGAGCGCCAAGAACCTTGTAAAGAGGATGCTTACAAAGGATCCCAAGATGCGCATCCTGGGTGCTCAAGTGCTCGGTGAGTTCTGGATGGGATAGGGTGGGTGCTGGGTGGTTGGTTGTGGTGGGGAGAGTGGTGGGTGTGATGGGGAGTGGGGTGGGTGGCTGGGCCTGGTTCGTGAGTGTTGGTTTGAAGATGCTGATCCCATGGACTCTCAAGGGGCACTGACACACCTCCCTCCCTCCCATTACCCCCACCTTCAAACTCCCCTCTGTGCATTGGCTTTCAACATGCAGAGCACCCGTGGGTGAAATACATGACTGATAGGGAGGAGCCGTGACCGCATGCCATGGCCATTACAGAAGTAGCCATGGCAACACTGACAGGCATGTTTGCAACTTCACAATCTGTGCAGAGTAGGCATCGATCTAACAGCCTAGGGCCACCCCACATTGACCTGTATCGCCTCTCTCTGCCCTGCAGTGAAAAACGCTGCATGCTGTAACTGAGAGTTAGGCAGGGAGGCTACTGACACGGGTGGCTTAGTGGCCGCTGGTAGAGTCAATAAAGTGAGGCTTATGGTCAAGCCAGTGCATTGCAGCGGCTTACTGTGAAGACACTGTAATCCACACAAGGATGTGAAGTGGAGACTTTGCCCTTCATGTGAGTTGGGCATTAGTCATGGTAGCTTGCTTACCGTCAGAGGCAATGACCTTGTCTAACAAAGGCCAGTTTGAATTGCAGCATGACGAGAAAAGAGGAGACATCCCATTTCTGATTGTAAAAGCCATTGACATACATGTTAAAACTGTACACTAAAATCATAAATGTATGAGGCCTGCCATCTTGTTGGGGAACTCAGTAGCCTGCAGCATGCAGCTACGCCAGGCAAAAAACCACCACCACATGCACACAAATGCTGCAAGTTGATACTTTAATTAGATTGTTTCTTGTACAGTTGCTAGTGGTTCTGTAGACCTTGTATGCAGTCACTGTGCTGCTTGGGTGTGCTTCTGAATCCACGGGTGTGCTGCGCGCAAAAAAAAAAAAACAGGAAATAAAAAGGAGAAGATGAGAACGATAACCGTATGGAGCAAGGATTTGAACTAGGCAGTAATAGCACCAAATTTATGAGCAGGAAGGTGAGCTGGCAGCTAGGTGTAGGAGTTGGTGACTCACCTAGCACTTCTCGAGCTGTGATGCGATCCAGAGGGTCTTTCTCCAGCATCCTCGTTATAAGGTCCTTGGCCTCCTCGGACACAGTCGCCCACTTCCAATACTTGAACACCACCTTCTTCTTCTTGACCGCCTCCTCTAGCGTCCGATTGGATGACTCCCAGAAGGGCGGCACGCCTGAGAGCATCACATAGAGCGACACCCCGGCGCTCCACACATCCGCCTCGTAGTTGTAACACTCGTCTAGCACCTCCGGTGCCATGTACTCCGGTGTTCCCGCCATTTCCCAGCACATTGCACCTTCCTTGAGAACTGTAGCCACGCCGAAGTCGATGAGCTTTATAGGGACATTGTTGCTGGGGCTACAAAGGAGGATGTTTTCAGGCTTGATGTCGCGATGGAGAATGCCAAGCGAGCGGCAGTGGAGCAGGGCTTCCAGGAGCTGCTTCAGCACAAGAGCAGCATCTGGCTCCGGGATTTGACCTTGCGATTTGATTCGGTCAAAGAGATCACCACCCGCGCATAGCTCCATCACCAAGTGAATGGCTTTGTCGTCTTCAAAAACCTCTTGAAGAGTGATAACTGAGGGATGGCCTCGAAGCATGGCAAGGAAGGTTACCTCCCTTCGTACATCGTCAGCATCCTCAATTGTCTGTAAGGAAAGAAGAAAACATGATCATTGGTATGGTGAGGAGAAAATAACGCTTTTAAAAAAGAACAAACAAACAATGGGTTGCAGCCATGTAGTTTCACAGTAAACTGTAGCATGCCTGAATGGTAACTCACCTCAATGGTCTTCTTCAATATTGTTTTACACGCGTACACCTGCCCTGTGGCGCGCTCCAAGCAGGTTCGGATGGTTCCGAACCTGCCTTCTCCAATCTCCTTCTTCCCCAGTGAGTATCGCCCCTTGATATCATCATAGGGCATCCGAAGCACGAAATCGGTCGGCTTCAGATTTGGCACGGCTGACTCGAGGGCGCCTTGTAGCTCGAGGCCTCCCAGACCAAGGCTCAGGTTTTCCCACTTAGGCCCGTGTAAGCCCGTGCCTACATCCGAGCCTGGTTGATTACCCCAGCTGAAACCTGCTGCACTTGCTTCCGCACACGCCAAAAGCGCCGCCTCGAACGCTTCCCACTGTGTGGAGTTTCCGCTGCCTCCTCCTGTCACACTGCCGCTGCTGCTGGTTCGCGATTGCGAGCGGAACCCCGCGAACACGTCCAGCTGGCTCCCGCTGTTGTACTTGCGCGCGTGCCTCGGCTGTTGCTGTTCTGGCCGAGCCCCTCGTGCTTTGGGCCCAACCGGAGTCCCTAGTTCGGCAGCAGCTTGCGCTTGAGGGTACCCGAGGTTCGATGCGTTTCCGTGATCAAGGCTGGGTGCAGTCGGGCTCGAGCCGGCGTAGCGTTCATTAACCACCGAGCCAGTGCGATACACGCTTTGCTTTGAAGTAGCACGGGGCACGGCGGGCGGAAGTCTGTCCTTGGCGGACAAAGAGGGAGGGGACGACGATTGGAAGGACAGCACGGACGCGCAGCTTGGGAACTGCGGGGACTCGCGGCGTTTGAGCGGCAGAGGCGCGTTGCGGGGGGGAGTGCCGGAACGGAAACCTTGACTGGGCTGAGTGAAAGCGGAGTGCGAATCAGACGCCATTCGCGACCCCAACATGGGCTTTCCCGCGATGGGCTGCTGCGACGGCATCAGCCGCTCTCTCAACGTCTGCGCGCTTTCCGCGTCGCCCGCATCCTCTTCGGACTGCGCGCCGTACAAGTCGCTATCCTCGGCCTTGTCGTTTCGCATCTTCGGCATCAACACGTTTCCGTCTCCCCCCCACCCCCGCATGTCACTACCAACGTCCGCCTCCTGACCTTCCCAGCTGCTGCAAAGCGATATACCGCTCGCGCTGCTCCCCTTCGCCCCTCGTCGACTCGTCCCCGGCGCGGCTCGCTCGTCCGCTCGCGCGCGATTCTTCGCGCCAATCCGATCGTTTCGCTGCTGGAAAACGCCAAGCTCGTCGGCGTTAGCGGCCAGCATCTCGTGCAGCAGCTCCCGCGGCAAGTCGTCGAATTCTTGGAAGAACCGCAGGTCGATTCCGCCGACGCCGCCGTTCACCTTCGTGCTCAATCCGCCCGTGGCCCTCACACCGCCACCACCGCCGCCGCCAGCAGCTCTGTTCGACAGCCCCGCCTGCCGCGTGTCGGCCAGCAGCTCGTCCACGCTGACCATCCGGTGGTGAGCCTTGCCGCCAGCGCCGTTGCGCCCGGCCACGACTTGCCCCCGAGCCGCGCGCTGCCGCCCAGCTTTTTTTGCCCGACCTCCCGCGGAAACCGCCTCTGCCTGCGTTTTGTCCGCCACGCCAAGCCCCGCGCTGGCCGACTGCGGCATTCGCTCGTTGCTCTTGCGCGGCGCCTCTGCCTTTTGCCAGTCCTCGAGTTCCCATTGAATACCGCGCGCGCTGCACTCCTCCATCAGTTGGCGCGCCGACGCCACCACATCCATCGCCGCGCCGTACGGCGACGTCTGCTCGGCGGCGAGCGCCGTCGGTGACAAAGAATAATTCGCGGGGTCGACGCCGCTACAGGAGCCTCGGCCAGGCGTGAGAGCCGCTGAGACGAACGCATGCTCGTCGAGCGACAGACGCGGGGCGTGAGAGCCGCGGCGGGTGCCCCTGGCGGCACCCGAAGCGCCGAGGGGCTGGGAGGACGGAGGCCGGGGCAGGCGCGTGGATTGTCGGCGGTGGACGGGCGACAGTCCGCCGTCATCGCCTGGCTGGATGCGAAACTCCCCAGACCGGGAGTGGGGCACGCCGCGGGGCGGCAACGGTGCGGGCGCTGGGCTGGATAGTGAATGGGGGAAAAGCAAATCCGCCTCGCTGCCACGCCGTCGCAACGCGACTCTGTGATTTCCTTCCCGCCGCTGTCGCAGCGGCGACCGGGCTGGGGACAGCGACGGCCCCGCGTAGGAGGAAACCCCGCTCTCCTCGTTCCGTTCGAGTGGAATCTGGCCGCAACTCACGGCGCTGCGGGGAGTCCCGTGTCTCATGCGCGAGACGGGAGGAACATGATTTGTTGGCCGAGGAGGAGAAACGTGAAGCTCGGTTGCGGATCGTTGCCGGCGGTGCTGACTGCCGTGACTTTCAGTCAATACCGTGGGTGCGGGATACCCGTAGCAGCGATCAAAGGGGCTTTGCTCGTCAAGCGCAGTGCCTTGACGCGGCGCTTCGAGACTAAGCATAATGCTATCCGAGGATACGGTGCGATGATGACGTGACGACTTCTCTGCGCGCGGCCTAAGGGACTGAAGCTCGGGGGTCGAGAAGAGACCGTAACTTGGAATGCTATGAAAGACTTGATCGTTTGAAGGAGGCTCGTGCGTGGTGATACTGCGGGGATGAGAGCCCAACATTGAGTGGTACTGTAACTCCCTGATGTTAGTGATAATGTATAGTCACCGCTCTTCAGGTGAGACGCGTAAAGCCAGGAGAATCATAGGAACAGAACTCAACATTGGGTGACATCGAGTGAGGGAGGAGGTGCAGTGCGGAGTAAAATTCGTCGGACAAAGAGAACAGCTGGCAGTTCGAAGTTACGCGGCAGCGAGGATCACAAGAGATACTCGACGGGGAAGAGTCGATCTGTGGCGAGGAAACAAAATGATTCCCCCAAAAGGACCGTGTGAGTAGGGTAGCGTCACTCAGGGGGGCTGCTGTATGGGGCAATGGAGAGTGGTGGAAAATCGATTAGTGTAATGCTGCTTTTCCAAGAATTTTATTGCCATGCTGCTGCTTGCATTGCATTTCTTGTCGTTGTCTTCATTTTCAAGCCGGCGATGCGAGAAATGGGATGAGATGGGACTGTTTTGGCACGCTTCCGACATTCATGTCGCAATGTCGGTCGCATGTACCC